TAGCGCTTGTGCGTTGTTCGGAGTGCTTTCGACGTAGCTACAGTGTCAGCCACGTCTCTGCTGCGGAACAGAGCGCAGGGGAACAGTTGAAGCAAACAGGTGGGCTCGGAGCTCTGGGTCTGTCAGTTAGTCTGTGGCTTGCTCTAGAGGCGCGAAAGCGGCCCAAACTGCTGTCCCTGTTTAGTTCTTCTTTCAGATCGTTCTCAATGTTAGAACGTCCGAGATATACGTAAGAAGACGATCCGCAATTGGAGCGCCTCTAATTCCATTTCCTGATCTTCATAAAAAGCGTTCTTCATGAGCGGAGTCTTCTTTCGGTTAATTCGAGTCCTATCCGTTTCCCTACTTCGTTTATTTCTCCCAATATCGTTTCCGCTTCAGTGATTCCTCGAGAAGAGAACAATGTCGCGCAAAACCAAGATACGAGAGAAATCTCCCATTAACTCTTATACCTCTCTCGTTCCAATCCTGTGTTTTCATCACCCATTGCTAGGCGGCGGTAAGCTTTGGCGACACAGTGTCGCCTTAACCCCCTTCGAAATAGGTATGTTAAGGGGACGATGGAAAAGCTGTACCGTTGTAGAGCAGTTCTTGCAGCAGTCGGCCAAGGTCCTCGCATAAGATGGGTCCACCCTTTGGTCGACGAGCGCTGACAGTATGGCATTAGTCTCGATGCTCAAACGCTTTCTCAAAGTCGACGAAGGTTGGGTCGAGAGTAGGCGGCACTCTCGGCAAACCTCGATAATCCTCGAAACTGTCTGGATGTGATCCACACAGGTGAATCCCTTTCAAAATCCAGCTTGCTCCGTTTTCATTCAGTGTCCTTGATATGCGAGCGAGAGTAATCTTCGCGAAGAGCTTGTAAAGCACGCTCAGCAGTATATTGGATGGTAGCTCCAAAGATCTTCCCTATCGCCCTTCTTAAGAAGAAGAACTGTTCGGGAGCTTTCTGCTGGTCGGGGATCCTTTCCTTTTGAAGGGACGTTAGGTGTGCCGCAAGTATCTCGTGTAGGCGATGTCCTCCAGCTCGTAAAGGTCGGCCGGAACGTGGTCCGGTCCCGGAGCCGTGGCTGCCTTGATTCTGGATTACGGCGCGTACTTCAGCAGGTAGAATCCGTGGTAGTTTTTCTCCAATGAATAACGGGGCTTGTACAGTGTTGGAGAACGAAATAGATTTTTGCAGACCGTGATTGATTCTATCTTGTCGGGAAGATGTGCGAGTCCCGTCTTCATTTTGTTGTCAACGGAACACTGCAGTCAAGAATGTCCCTGCGGTACTTCCTTAGATTCTTCCTTTTGCTGCTTCCAAAATTTTCGATTGCCTATATTTTTGAAAATCTTCTTGCAGAGCTGTTTTGCAACTGCTATTGGCTACCAGTCGC